CCGATCAGTCTCATATTATACTGTCATGACATAGCAATAGTTTGAACAACTATGTAATAAAACAGTTTTTTATATAAAAGTTACATGCTATTGTTTTAATGTGGTACGTTTTTAGATATAGATAGATAGATAGATAGATAGATAGATAGATAGATAGATAGATAGATAGATAGACAGACAGACAGACAGACAGACAGACAGACAGACAGACAGACAGACAGACAGACAGACAGATAGATAGATTTTATTACACAGACTCAAATTCCAAATATACATAAAAAGAAAAGAAAAACAATAAAAGAATAAAAAGTGTGTTAAAAAATGGCAACTAACCCATCAGGAGGCAATCATACCAATGTCTCCAGAGTACAGATGAGTATTTTACGACACTATATTTAACATTCGTCAACAATAGAATAATTCTCTTATTAGACTTGTTTACATGACAAATAAATTGATACATAAGCTTCCTTAAAACAGCCATCAAAGTGCTAACACGAGCAGATACAAACAGTTCTCTAGCACTGGTCCATCTGGGCTTATTTAACAAAAGTCTTAAAGCATCATTAAAAGCCACCTTCAGTTTTTGAAGACTGTTTTTTTTTTAAATTGCACCACAAATGTGCTGTATACAATGATGCACAATATGATCGAAACAAATGCAGTTTCACTTCATCAGTACAGAAGCCAAACTTACGGACCAGGATATTTGCCTGAGCATAAAGCATTCGAACCTGTCGGTAAATGTCCGCATCATCAGACAAAGTGTCTGTCAACACATGACCAAGATATTTTACTTCATTAGAGACATTCAATTGAGTCCCAGACAGCATGAAATTTGGAAATTTGCTATATTTGTCCTCCTTAGTGCGACAGATCAAGATGATGCTTTTTGATGGATTAAATTTAACATCATGTACTTCACCATATGCTGAACAGACATTAAGCAACTTTTCACAAAACCATATGGAAAATGTGGATTGCTATTTACTTTTGCTACTTTCGATCATTCAAATGGTTTAAAACAAATGTGTCCAAAGGCTAAAACATAAAAAAAAATGAAAAATAAAAAAAGTAAAACATTCTGGTGAACAAGAGTATGCACCAGAACTGCAACACAGGAAGAGGGGGAAATGTAGATGAAATACAAACCCACAAAATGAAGAAATGTTGTGCAAAGCAATAGATAATCTCAACCGCACATCTTGATTCTACTCAAAGATAAACATCTTACTTATCAGGTGCTGAATGTACTGAACAGTCAAATGGGTTAAAATACATCTTATTTACTTGTAGGACTTTGGCTTGAAACCATAAAACGTCAAAGGAAACTTTAATGCTGTGTATAGCTCAGCATGTATGCCATGCATCTCTAATTCTATGTATTTGGATAATAGATGCAGGTTTGTGGATATAATTTTTTAACATACCACCACATAGATTATAACAAATAAACCCAATCAAACACTCACTAAAAGCACAAGTAGACGTCGGAAATAAGTGCATGAGACATAAAAGGAAGTCCTCGCTTCACAGTCTGTTCAGCTACAACACAAAGAAGAGACTGAAAATTGTTGAAGGCCATAATCACTGTTGTGACAAAAGTCTGGAAAGGATGTCAATAGATTTCGAGTAACAGTTTGTAATAAATTGCTTGCTCCTTTTTACTTCCCCATTTGCTTAACATAATTTCTTAATGTTCCTATAAGATGGACGTTGGGACATTTTACCAAAACAGAAGTAATTGAGGACATCGAGGAATGCAAAACCTGTTGAGCATCCAGCTGTGGCAATTATTTTTATAGTAAGTCTTCTAAGACTTTAATATGGTTTGACTTAAATGATTTGACTGGCTGAACGTTTATCATCATCCTAGTGGAGGGTGAACTGTCCCAATCTAATTGACCTTGTTCTCATGAACTCCAAACAGCTTCTGTTCAAAAAGGCAACAATGTCACCACAAAATTTCGTAGTGGGTAAGATGCACTCAGGGTTATATACCGAGTCAATTTTCAGTCACATATAAAGCTTTAAATAGACCTGAGAAGACCAAGTTCAGTTTCAGTCTTCTCTTGCACATTTGCATGTTTGTTGCATCTTCTACATGATTTGTGGCAAAGTTTAAGTCTTCTTCACGTCACTCTTTCTGAAAAGTCTTGATTTAAGTACAATTATAGGTCCTATTATTTGCTGATTAGGTGAATAGTGAAGGCAATTGACTTCCTGGGATTTCATTGGAGATCAGGCTAATTGTTTGAAAACATTGCTTACTTTTCCCATCACTTCATTATGAGAAACTTTCGGTTGTAGGTTTGGTATGGTAAAGTATGGTAAAATGATATTCATAGAATAATTTTGAAGCTCAACTTTAAATATGATGAGGGCAAAAATGTGTTCATGAAGCCTGAGAAGTGAAAAAAACAAAATAAATCCATAAACATGAGGTCATTGGAGATAATCTACATACCATTAGCATACCTTTTCAAATTAACATCATGTTTATGACAATGTCTTATGCACACCTCTTCAAATAAAGTCTTACCCAATATTCTGCAATTCATTTCTTCGTAAATGTGATGACTTGATGTTTGTGTGTAACTTTTTCACTTTAGACACACCTGAAATAAGTTTTAAAAGTTGTTTTCTGAATGGAGATTAGTAGAAAACTAGAAATTTGAAAGGGGAGCAAGTCATTGGACGACTGACTGAACAGAAGTCAGAAACCAGAAAACTGTAAAAACTCATAAAGTTACTCAGCACAAGAGTGATATACACTGACAATGAAACAGAGTAAGAGACAATAAGAAACAGGAAGGAAGGTAAAAACCATGTACAAATGGAGCAAGACTGACTGCCAAAGCAGTCAGGGAAATAAAAGACATGAGACTTCAAAGGTAGAATACCAATTCATAAAATTAACACAAAGTCCATCACACTATGGAGTCTTTTCTAATTGCGAGTGCCCAACTGTCTCTAAGATATGCTCAGACTGTATGAAAATGCATCCTGCTACTAAAATTACAGGTTAACAGGAGTTGTGTTTGATTCTCATTGTAAAAGTGATGTGCTGTTTCAGAACTGATCTCATTCGTATGCTTTAAAGATGTCACCCAGACGAATCAGAAGTAAATCCCTTTCTGAAAAATGAGGTTCGTGACTTCTGTGGATTATAAGTTTTTACTGAAAATAATTTTTGTTTATGGAGGAAATTAGAAATCTTAACTAACCAAATACTGTGGAGCTTTACCAGAGCACACTTTTCACTCTTGACGATGAAAACCATCAAAGATGAGGTACTGATGCTGAGTAAGACTGCTGACTTCATTTCACATGTCCGTGAGAACACAGAGACGCAGGAAACTGAGGTTCCAGATTATAGGTTGTGGTTTTGAGTTTTGTCAGAAGATTTGTTTCAAAGTACACGGTGTTTCGGGGTTTAATTTGATGACACTCACAAGATAATCTTTCACTGCAAGGAAATGCATCCATCGTGTAGCAAGAAAAACAACAAAAAAACCAACAAAAAAACAAGTCCAGCAAGTTAATAGAGTCAATTGAAACAAAATCAATGTTTATTAAAAGCAGCATTCTTTGCACGCCTCGTAATATTTAGTGTAGGCTAAACATGCAAAACACCTTGGAGTAACTGAGACATTTACGTGTGTCTTGCTACGTGTCTTTAATTGCATTAATCCACATTAAAAAGTGGTTTTGTGTAAAGAGCATTAAGATATGCTCAGACTGTATGAAAATGCATCCTGTTACTAAAATTACAGGTTAACAGGAGTTGTGTTTGTAAAAGTGATGTGCTGTTTCAGAACTGATCTCATTCGTATGCTTTAAAGATGTCACCCAGACGAATCAGAAGTAAATCCCTTTCTGAAAAATGATTACTTCTACAGTTGTTGCACATCTGTCTATGTGACTCAGGAGGTTTAGTAATTCACTCATAGTAATTCAGATATCAATACCATGCTTTCTGTTTGAATCCATGCCTGAAAGAGTATTGATGATTGTCTGTTTGTGATTTGATTACTCATTACTGACATTCCAGACACAGCTCTCTTTCAGTTTGGTGCAAGTTTGAATTGAGTAAACCTTTGGGGTTTGTGATGGGCTGCTATTTCTGCTAAAACATAATTTGCTTGGAGAAATTAGGAAAACCAGTCTTTAGACAGGCTTGTTTAAAATCTCACAACGTGGCTTTACCATTCCTTCTTTGTGCCGATACGTAATCCTGCATCTTTGCTCTCACCCAGGCCTGATGAACCCTGTTGGCCTGCAGCCATCACCACTATGGCTGAGCATTAAGTGCTTTCATGCATAAGTTTGTTTCGTGGAATTTTAGAAATGTCTGTGATTTAAACTGACCCTATTAGATTAGTTACCTTTTCAAAATATCTATCACATCTGTGTTTCTGAGAAGAGACTTGTTGAGTCATAATGATACTTCACACTTCAGATGACAGCTTTGAGGAGGCTCAGTGAATAGGAAATATTTTTTTAAATGGCTTATTGATAATGCCATTTGTGCTAAGGCAGAAATAGTGTAATTTATTTTGTGAAGTGCAACTTTATATAATCACGGAGGCGTTTCATAGATTCACTGTTTGCTCCACTGTTCTTACTCAAGGAGACTCGTAGGCTGAGACTGTGAAAACTACTGCATCAAGTTACTCAGTGGGCAACGGTGAACAGCGACCCTTCAGACCTAAAACCTCAGAAAGTGGTTTCAATTTGTCATCTACTTTTTAAAAATGATGTTGAGCTGAGCTCACCCTCCAACTGCACAGAGCATATGTGCCTCAAGTTTTCCAGCAAGAACCACATACGTTCCGTTTACCGTAACTTAAACCCAATGAGCTCTCATTGGTTTGCTGACCAGAAGTGCACAGTGACCGCATATAGACAGAGGGAGGGGGGGCTTCACTGTCATGTTCAATAAAAACCACAGGCTATATATAAGAGAATACCTCTTATATACAGCCGCCAATATTTAAGATGATGATAAAACTGATGGCGACACGGCGGGTGTTAATGCTCTTCCTTGTTCTGGCAGTCCTCAGACAAAAAGGTGATGTATTAAAATCTATATATTGTTCTTTGTTAAAATAGAAACCGATGCTTATTTGTATTTTTGCTTTTGCAGCTCATGGGACTGAGATTATTAATGGCAAAAAAGTGCCTGATCGTATGATGCGTTATGTGGCTTCGGTTCAGAACGACAGGGGTCAGCATGTGTGTGGGGGATTTCTCATCAGCGAAGACTTTGTGGTTACGGCTGCACACTGTAATAACAAGTGAGTTTTGCAAGGCTTTCAGTATTTTGACATTTTGTAAGTGCTACTTTTCTTCAAATAATAAAGACTAAATCTTTTTTTTTTTTTCATTTAGTACCCCTACAAGTGTTGTACTTGGAACTCACAACCTCAAGAAAGTTGATGATGGCACAATGAGATATAATGTAACCCCGTGCAAGCACCCAGATTTCAAAGATGTTAAAACTGGCAATGACATCATGCTTCTCAAAGCAAGTTCCTTTACTTTTTAAATGTTAGTGAACATTCTGAAACCTTTAAGTTTTACATTTCTCATTGTGTTTTTCTTTTGCCAAAAGCTGTCTAAGAAAGTGAAACTCAACAAAAAAGTGCAGTCGATCCAAATACCGAAGGGTGAGATGAAAGTGAAAGATGAAGCTAAGTGCCTCGTTGTTGGCTGGGGCTCCACAAGATATAGGGGTAAAACTTCCAATGAGCTGGAAATGGCTGAAGTGACCATAACAAGTCTGAAGGAATGTAAAACTACATGGAAATCTTTGAAGCTCGATCTTCCAAGCAATGTGATTTGTGCAGGTGGAGATAATGCAAAAACAGGATTCTGCAAGGTGCATATGTCTCTAGAAGGTATTGCTGGCAAGTGTTGCATAGCAGAAAAACTCATCAAGCTCTGCTTTCTTCACAGGGTGATTCAGGAGGACCTTTAGTGTGTGGAGGGACAGCCGTAGGCATCGTGTCTTTCAGCGGGGAGTGTATCACAGATATCCCTAATGTTTACACAGATGTATCAAAATACGTGTCCTGGATCAAAAAAATTCGCAAGCGAAAACAATGTTAAGTGGAGCACATCATGCACATATTTCTGGTACAGTTGCTGTATCTCTCTGTGTTTGATTTTTAATGGGAGGATGGAAGGCAATAAAATGTGTTTTAAATCTTGTGAGTTTCTACTACTAAAGCAGATATGGAAAATGTTATATAGACTCTTGGAATGGAATGAATCTTTTGTAAAAACTTTAAATTTGACAGAAAAAATAGTAAACTGCTAACAGGCTAAAAAGCAAGTATTCGTATCACTGGCGTAAAGCACATTCCACAATAAATAAGCCAATGAATAATAGCATCACGCATAGCGTGTTTGTTGTTTTGACTTAAAAAAATAATAAAATGAAACCGTTAAAATGCCTATTGTATGGTGTAATTGTTTTTCAGAGCACATTTCATGATATTGGACTGCAGTGGTGGAGTTGGTAGCACTGCTGTCTTGCAGCAATGAGGTTGTGGGTTTGAACCCTGGTCAGTTTGCATGTTCTGTGTCACTAGTTCTCATGAACTAGTGGCTTGTTTACCCCGTCTCTTGCCCTGTGACTGTTGAATATGAACATCAGCTCCCTGTGACTCTCCAAGGATAAATGGTGGATTGAGTTTTCTATAACTGCATAAACCCAATGATAAATATTTCATGGTGCTTTGAGCTGTTAGTTGACCAGCAGTTTGATAGACCAAATTTAATCCTCTGATTAAAAAAAAAATAATACAGTCAAAGTATGAACGTTAGAACGTTAATTTGGACTCATAAAATCTGGGTTTGCTTTCTCAATAAAAGATTTAAGCCTGTTCTTTAGTTTTGTATAATTAATTCTCTAGTTTCAAAGATGAACCTAGAAAGCTGCATAAGACTGTCAGAAAAACTTACTCTTTTTCTTTTTACTTTGTTATTTTTATATGCACATACAATCACACATAAAAAATGTTGAAGTTTGAAAAATGAAAAAAATAAGGATAAAAGGAAATTATTATGAAAAAGTACAATAGAAACACATTGCATGCTTATATTGTATGCAAATTTGCATGTTTTCTTGTATGAAAGTTGCTAAAACACACACAAAGAAAAAAGCACAAGCAGAAAAGGTTAAAGACTCATGACAGAACACAAAACTTGACACAGAGGCATCATTCAGTCCCCATCTGTCACATGTTTGAAGCCTTTTATGAACAGATTTCAACAAATTAAAAAAGTAAAGCTCAAATCTTGAATGTGTGTGATATACATCGCTTCACAAGTGGCTGTCATTCATCTACACTTTCACAAGGGGGCAATCCTAAGTTTGTTTTCTCAAATAAATGTCTGTGTTACTGAAGTAAAGTTATACTTATTAAGGCTGCCAGATCAGTCTAGGCCTGCCAAGGATCGAGTAAACCTTTGCAATTGCTACTTTTGTAGTGTTTGCAAATAGTTAATCTGGTGTGTTTTTAGAAAAACAGATATGGGTTGACTGATACAGACAGACAGATACAGACAGACACATACAGACAGACAGACTGATACAGACAGACAGATACAGATACAGACTGACTGATACAGACAGACAGATACAGACAGACTGATACAGACAGACAGATACAGACAGACAGATACAGACAGACAGATACAGACAGACAGATACAGACAGACTGATACAGACAGACAGATACAGACTGACTGATACATATGGTAACCTCTGCCAGTGTGCTTGGCCAAATTTTCAGCACAAGTTGATTGAGGATTTCGTCATAGAAAGATGACAGATATCAACAACATGTTAGAACTACAAGTAGTGATAACTAAACAGAATCTGTCTTCGAAAACAAAATCCATCCCTTTAAGACGCAGCTGGTTTTGGAGATTTTATTTCACAAGGACACAGTTAAGTATTGGAGGAATTACATATCCATCCTACCACTACCTCAGCCCCATGGCTGCAAATACAACTTGATTAGTCTTATTCCAGAGGCTCACAGCATTTAAACAGATTCGCCCTGTTTTCTAAAAGTGGGTCATTGCTGAGATCCTTATCTGTTTTCAGAGAAAAGTCAGAATGAGTCATAATGGTACTTCAGAGTTTAGGTGGCAGCTATCGAGTGTTGCAATAGTACGTCAGACAATGGCCTCTTCATTGTTCTGGAAAACTTAAAAAATACAGCAGTAACCAGAAACTGCTACTGCAAAAATGCTACAATGTTAGTTGTTTTTTTTGTTTGTTTGTTTGTTTGTTTGTTTTTTGAGAGAAAATGACATTTCTGAACTATGACCAACTATGACAATCAGAGACAAGAATAATAAATGAAAACGTTATTTACCAATTGGCATTAGTAAACAGAAAATATCAAGGTGAAGACAGTCTGGTGGTTATAAAAATGTAAGGGGTTCATAAATAATTGATTAATCCCAATGGGGAAGTTGAGGTCATTGCAAATTTTCAAGAAGTTGTCGTACATAGGGGAGGATTGTGGAAAGGAATCTACTGCAGTGGTCAGTGCAACAGCGGTGAAGTGTAGGCCTCTGACTGAAGACACTTTTCTCAATCTTATGTGAAAGATTTCCAGGGTTGGCTGTGATGTTCATCATTATATGAATAGAATAGAATAGAATAGAATAGAATAGAATAGAATAGAATAGCATTTATTGTCATTGAACAGGATTCAACGAAATTTCTATTGCAACTCCCGTGCAAAAAGTCAAATATACAATATTAAATAAACAAACACACAATAATAATAATATATACAACTAAAATTAACTAAAGGCACTCAACCACACCAAAGAAGAAGCAGCAGGTCCAATTATGGTAAAGTGCAGATGATGTGACAGTGCAAGTGCAGAACAATATGGCTGTGTGGGGGTTGGGGTGTGTGGGGGGGGGTGTATGTGAGGTTATGATATGTGTGGGAGGGGGCGGCAGGGAGTAATGGCTCTGACGGCTGTGGGGAAGAAACTGTTTCTCAGTCTGTTTGTTGTAGTCCGTATATTCCTGAACCGCTTGCCTGATGGCAGCGGCACAAACAGTCTGTGGCCCGGGTGGCTGGAATCCATGGCTATGGATCCAGCTCTCTTCTTGACCCGGCCCATGTAAATAGAGTCCAGGTCCGGGAGGGGGCATCCCACAATGCCTTGTGCTGTTCTCACCACCCGTGTCAGTTGTTTCCTCTCCAGTGCTGTGCAGCTACCATACCACACAGTCACGTTGAGGCAGAGGACGCTCTCGATCGTCGCCCTGTAAAAGTTCAGGAGCAGCCGTGAGGAAAGTCCAGCCCGTCTCAGTTTCCTGAGGAAGAAGAGCCTTTGTTGTGCTTTCTTCACCAGGTGGGAGGTGTTGGTATTCCAGGAGAGGTCAGACGTGATGTGGAGGCCCAGGAACTTGATGTTGTCCACATGCTCCACCTCTTCTCCATCTATGAGAAGGGGAGAGTGACCCGTCCTCCTGGACCTTCTGTAGTCCACAATGACCTCCTTGGTCTTCCCTGTGTTCAGCACCAAGTTATTGGCTGAACACCACTGAGTGAGCTGCTGAATTTCCTCTCTGTAGTGGGTCTCGTTGTTGTCTGAAATGAAACCCACTACTGTTGTGTCGTCCGCGAACTTGACGACTGTGTTGGTGGGGTGGATGGCAACGCAGTCGTGTGTGAACAGGGTGAAGAGAGCTGGGCTGAGAACACAGCCCTGCGGTGTGCCTGTGTTGAGGACCAGTGGGGACGATGTTGAGCCACCTATTCTCACCACCTGAGGCCTGTTGGTGAGGAAGTCTCTGATCCAGTGGCACAGTGAAGCAGGCAGCCCCACCTTGAGTAGCTTCAGCACCAGCTTGTCTGGGATGACGGTGTTAAATGCTGAGCTGAAGTCTACAAATAGCATCCTGACGTAGGTGTTGGGATGCTGCAGATGGGTCAGGGCTGTGTGCAGAGTGATGGAGACAGCATCCTCTGTTGACCGGTTCGCTCTGTAGGCGAACTGGAGGCTGTCCAGGTCTGCAGGGATGAAGTGTCTGATGTACCTCAGAAGAATCCTCTCAAAGCACTTCATGATCACCGGGGTCAGAGCGATGGGCCGGTAATCGTTCAGGCTGGTGATGGTCGTCTTCTTCGGTACAGGGATGATGGTGGGAGACTTGAGACACTCAGGAACCATGGTGAACTGCAGGGACAGATTGAAAATGTCCAGAAACACTCCTGCCAGCTGGTCGGCGCACGTTTTCAGCGTCTGGCCTGACACCTTGTCCGGTCCTGTAGCTTTGCGGGTGTTGATCCTCCTCAGGGTGGACGTCACCTGGTGCTGCTGCAGGACGAGAGGCTGGTACTGCTCTTCCTCGGGGTAGATGTACAGCTTCTCTGCTGCCCACCGTGTCAAAGCGGGCAAAGAAGCTGTTTAAGGTGTCAGGCAGGGTGGGGTCGCGGCTGGTCAGCTGAGTGCTGTGTTTGTAGTCTGTCATGGTCCTGATGCCTCTCCACATGCTTCGGGGGTTGTTGTTGATGAAGTGTTCCTCAAAAGAGTCCTTCTTTGCACAACTAGTATTTTGCATTAGTCCATAAAGTTAAATTGCCAAAAAATAAAACATAGTCAGCAAGAGTGATTTTTTTCTTTTTATGTGTATTGAATCCATGTTTACTCTTATGAAGTTTAATGACAAGTTGCAGCTTTTCAAATTAAAATATGGCCTTAAAAAAGATCTGTATGTTTTGTGATGTCATTGCAAACACCAATAGTGAATAGAAGAAAAAAACTTTAGCTAGTGCTAAAGTTTTTGCTTGGTTAGTGCTAAAGCTTGTTAACTTTACTCAAATGACTAAAAGTGATGAATTTCCTAAAAAAAAACTAAGTTAAGGCAATGCAGTACAATGGTTTTGTTTGGCTTCAATGCAACTTCACCACAAAAAAAAGGGAAAAGAAAAGAAAAGCTGGACATGAAGGACAATATCTTTATTCAATAGACCTGCAAGAAGTTTTGGAGAGAAGGTAAACATTCCATGTAATGGTAAATAAAACAAAAAAGGGGGGGAGAATAACATAACCAGTAATGAGTTAAATTTTCCCATTCCCAGTTAAATTTTTCTGTTTTAACCGTTCAAAAGAAACCGCCGACATTTGTTTAATCTACACCAGATTTACTCAGACTGAAAGTACACAGTGATCACAGACAGAGAGGGGCTGCAATAACGCATGTTCATAATTTATATAACTATCCAACCCTCTGATAAGACATCAGTATAGCAATAAATTGATGATGACGCTGCAGGACTAAATGCGTCTTCATCTTCTCATATTTTTCTGTCATTTTCTGACAAAATGATTGTAAAATCTAATAATATTAGTCAAAACTTCTTTTTTTGCAGCACCAGCAGAGGGACTGATATCAGTAGCAATTTCAAGGTGTTAAATTGTGTTTTTCTTGAAAGTGCAACTAAAGAAGAGAGCGCAGCCGACTCCGGCAAGCAAGGGGCTGAAAAACACAGCAGAGTCGTCTTTCTGTTCAGATTTTGAGCTATTTAAAGACGTTTCTGCATTTGTTCACAAAGTAACAGCTTTTTAAAGTTTTAATTAACTTGATGAACTTTGTTTTCTTCTAATTCAGGTGGATCTTTTAAAAAGTGGAAATCCATGTTGTCACTTGCAACATGGACAAAAACAGCGACTATTCAAATGTTCTTCACATCGACACAGATGTCACCATGTATTGGCAGGTATTCTGCTTTAAAAAGATCCTCAATTAAAAGCACTGTTAAGAACTTTACAGCATGAGTGCATGTTTTATAATCTATAACTGTTTCATTTTTCCTTTGATAGAAGATTAAATAAAATGTCTTCAAAGCTGTGCTGCGTTTCATTTTGGTGGTTTCTACTAAACATATAGGGGATTAGATTTATACTTAATAAGAATGGTTCTTTTCCAGTTAGTAAAATTTTGTTTTATTCTCGGGTTGGTCTTGATAAGGTGCTCGAAATATATTTTCCAAAAGCAAGAACAACAACAAAATGACATTCTGTCTCATGCGAAACAAGATGCATCATAGAAAATGTAAAAGTTTTATAATTTGAAGCTTGTTTTTGTTTCAGTGAACAGGAAAATAACTATTTACATTTCCACGATTCCATGTCTTACACATATATTTTTTGGTGCACCTATACATACTGTGGTTTTTTCATTGGAAAAAAATGAAAGTTATTTTAAACTTATGGTTAACCAAGAGATTACCATATGGGTGATTTTGATCAACCTTTGGTGATTTTATCAGGAAAGATTATAACCAGACCTCAAAATGTTCTACCAGTAATGTCTTTTTTTTTTTTTTTTTTTGCTGGAATTAAGATCTTGAAAGCTTGGTCTATGTGGTTGATGCATTTGGCGATGCAGTTTGAGCACAGAGTGATGTTCTTGTATCAATGAAAATACATATTACTGCTGCTTTTCTCAGTAAATCTACTTCTAATCAGACTGGACCTGAAGGATGTTGGTAACAACCAAACAATTCTATGCAGAAATTAAAAATCTAAGGACATAGGTTTTAATGTAATATTAACAGTATTATTTTTGGGGCACATTCTCAAATGGAGACTGAAATGCTATGCCACAATAAATTAGTTCACAAATTAAGGTATGCATGAAAATAGAATTAGAAATGAAATAAGAATTGAACAGACTTACTGAATTTGAATATTAAGTAAAGAAGTCTTTGTTATAAATGGCAGATTCAGACTTCACAGATTCCTTCATAAAAATAAAATGTTGTGTTTAGCCTTTTATACATTGAGTATGAAAACACAGCGTACAAATAAATTATGAATTTATCAGTTAGCTAGCAAATCAACAGCAATACTGTTAGCTGTCCCTTTTCAACTTTGCTTAGCTCTTTTTGTCAATGCATCACAACAGAAGACTAGAGAGCTGTGCTAAACCTATTTGAACAAATGAACTGGTGCTTCCTGTCAGATGTTGCTTTGCAGTCTGCATGCAAAGATGACCCAATATCAGTGATCAAGCTGCGGCTGCAGAGCTAAGATGTCATCTTTGTAGCATTATCCAGACTGTTCCTGGGGTAAAGAGTTGCAAGATGCTTTTTGACAGGGTAAGTAAATATAAATAAGATCAGAAATAAGCAACATGAAAACAAAGTAGAACAAAGCATTAAAAACTGAATAAGAGGCAAAGCAATGTGACTAAATATGAGAAATTCTGAAGACAATTAGCTGATTTACCTCAGCTTATTGCTCTTCTGACTTTTGTCAGATCTTTGAACTGACAAAAGTTCAAAGATCACAAAGTCCTACACAGTTACAGACTTGTTAACATATTCTGAAAGGGGATGTGGTGTAAAGATTGCCACAGATATGGGAACGTTAGGCACAAACTTTTGCATAAAGGCAGCAACTTCATCATCCAAAAACGTAAAGCTTTATTGGCTGACATCATGAAGAGTCTGGGTTATTTCCTGCTGCTCAACATTTTGTCTTGTCTCGGACAAACTGGTAAGAGATTTTAGTTCCACATCTAATATTAAAATCTTGAACAAAGCCTCATCCTAATATTTGCCTTTTGAATATTTTCATAGTCTATGGGAATGAGATTATACATGGGAAAAAAGTCCAAGAGGACTCGATGCAGTATATGGTCTCAGTGCAAACCAATGTAGGTCACGTATGTGGAGGATTTCTGATCAATGAGGAATATGTAGTCACTGCAGCACACTGCAGTGGAAAGTGAGTTTTCTGTCATCTTCTGTTTGTTTTTTCCGCTTGGCTGTTGCTAAACCTAGTTTTGAAGACAACATTTAATTGCAAACTTTTCAGTGAACTGAAGTACGTTCTTCTGGGAGACCACAACCTCAAGAGTTCAAAGATAAAGAAAGTGCGAGTTAATTCCACATGCAAACCCCGTGATTATGTGGACTTAGGACATGGCAAAGACATCATGCTTCTTCGAGTAAGTGTGCTTAGCAAAGCACTTATTTTTTTTCTACAAAAAATAAAAAACATGTTCAAAAGTCTTAATGTTCATTTCTTATGTCTTTTCAGATGTCTGAGAAAGTTCTTCGAAGCAATGATGTGAAAATGATTCCCCTTCCTTTGTCTGAAATAAACTTAAGAGATAATCAAGAATGCTCTGTGGCTGGATGGGGTAAAACTGAGTCCAGTGATGACAGTAATGAACTGAGAATGGTGAACGTGTCAATCATAAACCAACAAATCTGCCGGGAGCAGTGGGGCAACAACCTTCCCCGCAATGTGATCTGTGCTGGTGGATTTGGTGAAAATAAAGGCTTTTGTCAGGTCTGCTTTTTGTATTTTGCTCAGAAATAATAGTGTAAGCATCATGTGACAAAACGTTCAATTCTTCATCTTTGCAGGGTGACTCTGGTGGCCCTCTGGTGTGCAATGGGAGAGCTGTTGGCGTTGTGTCCTTCAACAGAGGTCTCAACTGTCGCTACCCGGATATACCCAACGTCTACACAGATATTTCTAAATATCTTCATTGGATCAACAAAGTTGTGAATGAAAAGAAATGTATATAGTTCTTTTTTTTCACTGTCACTGTACATTGAAGCAGAAATCCTGGCAGTTGTGCAAATGCGATGCTCTGATCTCAAGATGTTGAATAAACTCTTGTCTTAGTATTTGCCTTTTGAATATTTTTAAGTCCATGGGAGCCAGATTGCAAAAAAATGCAGACAAATTAAAAATATTTTCCTGGTAAAAAAAAAAAACAGAACAAAATCATTTAATCTATGTTTCAAATAAAACAGAGACATGTACAAATGCCAAATGTCATCACTTCAACATTGCAAGAATCAATGAATAATTAGTTTACATCAGCAAGGAAAATGAAATGGTTAAAATTGCCTGATAAATAAAACAATATTTGTTTAAACTTTAAAACTACAGTTCCATTACAGTGCAATTTATAGTCAACCAGCTGTTAATACACACACATATATAGGGACAAGTGAATAAACAAATTTACATTTACATTATCTTAAAACAAAAAGCAAAAAGCACATGTAGAACAACTTTACCGTTTAAGTAAGAGAAGTATGCTTAACCCCACCGCTGAGAGGACATTTTGTATGACGTTACACTTTCGTAAGAGCAATGTGGTTATGTTTTATAATCAGTAAAGAATCATGAGTTCATGACATGGTCTTCCCACTCTTGACCACATTTGTAACCTTTAACAAAGTATTGCCATCATCGGTTAAGAAAGAAGCATTTATGTTGTGCAGTCTTTGACCTTTCTATAATTTAGAGGCATAGAAAACAAAAGGTTAGTGCAAAATGAAATTATATTTTTTACCAGTGTAATTTATCTGTTGCAGTTGACATAGTAGTTGCATAACCTTCTGTACATAATGTCCATTTGAATCTGGAGAGACTAACACAGAGAAAAAACATCAGTTAGAACAATTTTATTTGGCCTGAAGCTCTTATTTAAGCTTAATAAAGTTCTGGATAAAAGCAAGGGTGTATGGATGTGTGAGGGATGGACTATTCAGTCCAGGAGGTCAAATATGGAGTTAAAACTTGTGTTCATGTGGGAACCAGGCTACTTTGATACACTGAGTGAACGAAAATTAAAAAAGCAGTGTTTTTCCGTGAAAGATGTCAAATTATTTTTATAAACATCAATATATCTTTTGTGAAGTCAACACAAAGAATTTTTTTTTTCTATTTTTAATTTTTATGTATATATATATATATATATATATATATATATATATATATATATATATATATATATATATATATATATATATATATATATATATATATATATATATATATATATATCGGGCTGTGGAAAAATATATATTTTCCACAGCCCGATGAGGCTGTGGAAAACCACCCTTGAAGCCAACTGCAAACTACTTGCACAAGTGTCCATCAAATGTGGCATATACCAAGGAGATGTTCTGTCCCCGCTACTGTTCTGCATAGGCCTGAACCCCCTCAGCCAAATTATCAACAAGACTGGCTACGGATACAGACTCAAAAATGGGGCCAATATCAGTCACCTACTCTACATGGATGACATCAAGATGTACGCCAAGTGTGAGCGAGACATCGACTCACTGATCCACACCACCAGGATCTACAGCACTGACATTGGGATGTCATTCGGACTAGAGAAATGTGGTCGGCTGATCACAAAGAGGGGGAAGGTGATCCGCACAGAAGGAGTCTCACTCCCACAAGGAACAATAGCAGACATAGAGGACAGTTACAAGTACCTAGGTATACCACAAGCAAATGGCAACCTCGATGAGGCCACAAGGAAAGGAGCCACAGCTAAATACCTCCAACGAATAAGGCAAGTCCTGAGAAGCCAGCTCAATGGCAAGAACAAAATCCGTGCGATAAACAGCTATGCCTTGCCAGTAATCAGATACCCTGCTGGAATAATTAGCTGGCCAAAGGAGGAGATAAAAGCCACAGATATTAAGACTAGAAAGCTACTAACAATGCATGGAGGGTTCCATCCCAAATCCAGCACCCTGAGACTGTACACGAGCCGCAAGGAAGGAGGCAGAGGACTAGTGAGTGTGAGAACCACTGTCCAGGACGAAACAACTAAGATCCATAAATACATCAGGGACAAAGCCTCAACAGACAATGTGCTCAGTGAATGTCTCAGACAACAGGGAACGGAGGTTGAGGTGCCAGAGATACCATCATGGGAGGACAAACCCCTACATGGGATGTACCACCAGCAAATAACCCAAGTGGCTGATATCAGTAAATCCTACCAATGGCTGGAAAAAGCTGGACTCAAGGACAGCACAGAGGCCCTCATCCTGGCCGCCCAGGAACAGGCCCTAAACACCAGAGCAATAGAGGCCCAGATCTACCACACCAGACAAGACCCAAGGTGTAGGTTGTGCAAGGAGGCCCCTGAGACAGTCCAGCACATCATAGCAGGGTGCAAGATACTGGCAGGGAAAGCGTACATGGAACGACATAACCAAGTGGCAGGCATAGTGTACAGAAACATCTGTGCAGAATATGGACTGGAAACCCCGAGATCAAAGTGGGAAACACCCCCAAAGATGGTGGAGAACGCCAGAGCTAAGATCCTGTGGGACTTCCAGATCCAGACAGACAGAATGGTAATGGCGAACCAACCAGACATTGTCGTAGTGGATAAACAACAGAGGAAAGCGGTTGTGGTAGATGTAGCAATACCAAGTGATTGCAACATCAGGAAAAAGGAGCACGAGAAACTGGAGAAATACCAGGGCCTCAGGGAAGAACTGGAGAGGGCCTGGAAGGTGAAGACCACAGTGGTGCCTGTGGTCATCGGGGCCCTCGGGGCAGTAACCCCCAAACTGGAGCAGTGGCTACAACAGATCCCAGGAACAACATCAGACATCTCAGTCCAGAAATGTGCAGTCCTTGGCACAGCCAAGATACTGCAGGACCCTCAAGCTCCCAGGCCTCTGGTAGAGGACCCGAGCTCAGAGGATAAGAACCACCAGCGGTGGGTGAGAAGGGAATTTTTATTATATATATATATATATATATATATATATATATATATATATATATATATATATATATATACATATATATATATATATATATATATATATATATATACATATATATATATATATGTATGTATACATATATATAATATATATATATATATATATATATATATATATATATATATATATATATATATGTATACATACATATATATATATATATGTATATATATATATATATATATATATATGTATGTATATATATATATATATATATATATATATATATATATATATATATATATATATATATATATATATATGTATATATATATAATATATATATTATATATATATATATATATATAATATATATATATATATATATATATATATATTTTAAACCAAAATTTTTATGGTAGGTAATGTATGCACATTGAAACTGTGGAAAGTAGTTTCAGTGACAATATTTACTGATTTCTGTTTACATCACCTCAAAATGGCACAATTGCCTGAAAAGAAAATATTCAAACAATGAATCTCATTGACTGACTGAAAGTCTCTCTAGAAACAATTAAACGCTTCTGTCTGCTGCAATTTTGGTTAAAAAGTGATTTTCCAGAAGTAGCCAGAAATTGTAGTCAACTAAGAATAACTTTCCTTCATAAGTAATCGTTTTCAAGTTGAAGGAAAAAAATTGGTACAGTAAAACTACTTTTGTTTGTACATTGTTTTCAGAAAGTTACTCACTTATTGTAAGTGACTAAATATAACCATAGTACCAGCCACTACTGGTAATGTATACGACTGGATGAACAAACTGTATCTGATGAAAATGGTGTTGCATTTCAATGAAACACTATATATTTTCAAATAACATCACTTTAACTTAGTGGCATTTAAAAACGTGTGAACAAGAAAAATCAAAGTACAACTGAAAGGGAACAGGAAATTATAGTAAAGCAGGGCGATGTTTGAAGATATGGAGATGGCTGGTAAGAAACGTTTCTCGTGTTCGTAGTATAATGACTTCTGAGTATTCAAAGATGATAAAAGACACTTCTAATTGTCAAGCGGAAGTGTATATTCAAGGGGGATGTGGTAAGATGTGAAGCTAATATAGATTTTCATAGATAATAGGATGTGCAAGGAAAAGAAACTGCGATATAAAAAGCTCAACTTGACAAACTACAGCACAGCTGGAACAAGCTTGATTTGCTGGCAACATGTTCATACTGAAGAAATTTCAACATCTCCTTGTGCTGACATTTCTCTGTCAAACAGGTAAGAAATCCACATATTTTTATTCATGAATAACTAAGCAGGCATCTGAACTGGTTTTGTCCTTTACCTACCTCTTTAGTTCATGCAAGTCACATCATAAATGGGGATAAGGCTCCTGTAAACTCGATGCAGTACATGGTCTCAGTGCAAAGCAATGGACGTCATGCATGTGGAGGATTTCTGATCAGTGAGGACTTTGTGCTCACTGCTGCACACTGCAATATTCCGTTAGTCCAATTCCTTATTCTATTGTTGCATCCCACTAATGGTAGAGTTCGTTTGTTGCTAATGTATGTCATAACCTACTTACTGTCAATACTTTCAGTAAACCCAATCTGGTTGTCGTGGGAAATCAGAATATCAGAAGTTCAAACATAAGAAAAATAAATATTCAGTACAGCTGCGTATTCCCAGATTACCAGAACGTTGGAAGTGGCGATGACATCATGCTGCTTAAAGTAAGTATGTGATTATGAAAGGTCCACAACACAAGTTTTTAGTGTGATTACTGTGCAGAAACTCACCAGTTGTTAATATTGCAGTACTTATGTTAAAAGTGTTTTTCTCACATATTGTGAGACATATTATTCAGTGTAAATCAGTTGTCCTGCACCATAAATATAAGCAACATAATTATTATCACTAGCAGTTGTAATAGCAAGTAGCAGCTCTACTGATACAAGTATTAATAATTTTAGTTTTTATTTTTCCCAAATCCTATATTGACTTATCAACCCACTCAAAATATTCCAGTGATGTCACCTTTATAAATAATGGTGAAACAAAAAATGATGAACGAATATAATTATTATAACTAATTTTAACATTTCTAACCAATACGTTACAGTCATACTAGATGTTCTTATGCAGATTTAGCAATTGTAAATATTCTGCAGTAAGACAAAGGAGAAAGAGTGCTATTAAAGTCTTTAGAGAAGTTTAACTACTTACACAATTCACTCACCGTTTAAATTTAGTAGAAGATTAATCTGTTGTGCAAATGTTTAATTGTGAAAATTCAGTCTCAGTTCATCAAGTATGCAGGTGTTTTGAAGAAAACTGAATGTAAATAGAAAAATGTTGGTGCTCTCTAGATTAGTTTAAGCATTATATAAGTACATGCTATTTACAATCTTGGATTTACAGATGAGGAAAAATCATGAAATTTGTAATGCTTTTTTCCTTCTATTTTTGCCTTTTCAGCTCTCTGAGAAAGTCTCCAATGTCAATGCAGTGAAGACCATTCCAATTCCAAATTTCAGAAACTTTACAGAAAATCAGAGATGCATGGTCGCCGGATGGGGTAAAACAGAAAGCAACATATACAGCAATGATCTTAGAGTTGCAGAGGTGAAAATCATAAATTCACAAGTCTGTCAGAAGGCATGGGATAACACTCTTCCACCAAATGTGATCTGTGCTGGTGGATTTGGAACCACAAAAGGATTCTGTCAGGTATATCTTTTGTATTTTCTGTATATTAATAGTCCAAACATAAGGTGATATATGGAGGAATTTTTCTGCCACAATTCCAGAGCACACATTTTCAGTTTGAAACCAGGACTTCATAACTTTCTTCTCACAGTTCTAATGATTGCGCTCATACTTAGACTCTGCTCACTTTTGGAATCACTAGCAGTTGTAATAGCAAGTAGCAGCTCTACTGATACAATCGATAGTAGCCACACAGACAAACCCGCTGCAAGAAAACAAATGCTTTCATGTTATTGGCTGAGAGGTTGCCAGGCGATTGTCCCAAAAGGTGTTTACAAAAGAGAGCAGAGACCAAGTCTGAGTGCGAGAAAAACTTCAGACTCGGTGAACTAAATCTGAACTTTTGAAAAAAAGACATGAAGTCCTGATTTCAAAATGAAAATGTAAGCAAAAGTATTAAAGGTTTTGAAAACAATAGCAAGCAAGCAGAGTTTTTGCAAGCGAAGATTTGTTCTGAGCAGAGAGTAAGTGTGAGCATGAGAAGTTTTGAGTGCAATCATTACAAGTTTTGAGATGAAAGATATGAAGTCCTGCTTTCAAAATAAAAATGTTATCAAAAATATAAAACATTTTGAGAACAAAAAACATGAAATCCTGCTTTCAGACTGAAACTATGTAGTCTTGGATTATGGCAGAAAAGTTCTTTCATAGTGACAGATATCAAACAAATGTACAAAAACTCCTCATCTTCATAGGGTGATTCCGGTGGCCCTCTGGTGTGTGACGGGAAAGCTGTGGGTATCGTGTCATTCAACAGAAATTCCAACTGCTCCTACCCAAATGCACCCAACATCTACACAGACATTTCTATGTATCATTCGTGGCTCAGATGCCCTTTGAAGGATAAGAAATGTTGCTGTGCAAACCCTTAGAACGAAGCATTAAGTTGTGGATTCTATCTCGGGCAATGTCGTCAGCTTCTGCTCTTTAGCTGAATAAAACAAAATGCTTTCGAATATGTTCAGCTGTCTCTTTTATTTTCAAACACCACAAACAAAATAACTTCTTCACAGAGGTAAGTGTGTGCTGTTTCTGTTAGTGATTTGAGTCATGGTGGGAGGTATCTGCAACACATACTGCTGAAGTCCATGTTATAACTAATATGACTCAAGTAAATCCACATTGTTAACTCTGTTATGAAGAGGAAGGAAAATAGTTCCTGGTTTTTCAAATAGAAATCTGCAATTTCTGGCACAAAAGGTATATTTTAGTTTACATCCCATAGTCGGAAGGATTCTAGTGTAATATAGCCTTGAGTGAATACAGCTCTAATGTATGGATTTGCAAGTACACCAATGCAGCCTCCAGGTAAAAGGTGTTCAAAGTAAGCCATCATGAACCAGTATCCTGGATTCTTAAATGCTTTCCTGTTGCAGCACACATGAATCTATTGAATGGCTCATTAGCAGGGTTCTGCAGAACTTAAATCCGCCACAGTGCGGCAGAAACACATCAAAAACATGCTGGACACTGGCTGTTGTGGATTTGAGTTGGATACACCTAACCCCCGGTCATAGTGTCAGGTCTACGCTTCTGTTCTCATACACTGCAGAGTATGTCCTGGAACATAGAGGACAACACCGTCTTGGACACAGCATAGTGTAGTACCCAGCTGTTGCTACTCTTCTTCCTGTTTTTTGGAGTGATATTTGGACCTCTGCACTGACCCATAGTGCAGCACTCTATAAATTCCACTGTAATGTAGCTGCTACACACAGGTTTGTCCTTTTATGATGGTTCATCCTACTCCTCTACTTTCACAATAGATTTCTACTGCCAGACATAGTCAGGTTAGGAGATTATTTTGTGGGAAAGCTTCCAAATGTGCTTTATGATCATTGCTAAGACATCCTTTACATGATTTTACCACAATTTCTTTCAATGCAGGACACGTTTACCATTCGTCCTGTATTGTCCAGAACTTTTGGGTCTTAAAACATTTTATATCCTCTTTTGGCAATGGCGTGATTTTAGAATATACTTTTAAAGACTATTTTACAATATTCATAGACTTCGGCCTACAATGTTCTAAATAGGTGACCAGCAGGTTAGGGAGAAAAGACCTGAAAGTCAAAAAGGCTAGAACTGACACATGCATGAAAGTGACATGAAAAAAATCTGTTTCACTTCTCGTTTCCAACTGGGAGGGAACATATGTAAGAGAGATAACTTTAAACCCCACCTTTCTTCTTAAACCAGATAAATTAATAAAGCAAAGAAAACACAAGTGTTGTCAGATACACTGTCAATTGGGCTGTAGTTGCCACTAAATATATCTTGTATTACCGTTTACTTCCCAATGATGTTATAATTCTTATCATTACGTATATATTGCTCATTGTTGTTTCCTTGGTTTGTTTCTTCTCCGCAGATTTAGAGGCAGACTTTAAGGTGTTGACTTGTGTTCTCTTTATGCTTATTTTTCTCCATTACTCCTTTTCTTTCAAACTCTTCCCTCACATTTCTTCCTTTCCTTCCCCCTTTCTTTTTTTTATCTCTGTATCCTTAAGTCAGTTGTCCTTAAGTTTTATTTATCTTTTTTACGTAGTAGCAGAAGCCATAATGCTCCACTTTGAAAGTAAATCTGTCGACACATTAAGAAATAATTAACTCAAGATATTTTCATGCAAGATTTTATGAAATTTTGATTAGATATCATACATTGCTATTTGGGCATCATCAATAATACTAAAAAGGTTAATGAGCATTCCCCTTTTATTTTACACCATTTGGTCTAATCATTCAAGGTAATTAGTTTGTCGTTTCTCCTTCTATTTATGTTAGTTGGTTCATAATATTTTTATTCAACAAATGCAGATAAAGACGTGTTAGTTTGATAGACTATCATTTTTATTTTAGATCAATTGGTTGACAGATAAAATGAGCTTAATGGCTTTTTGAATGTATAATAATAAAAAATGTTTCCATGAGAAAAAAGGAAGTTATGTCAGGTTTGTAATTGGGTTGATTATTCATGGTGAAATGAATGACATACATTTACTTCATTATTATACAGAAAGAAGTATGATTTGGGTTGGGATAGTCTAAACCCCAAATGTATTTGTGTGAATCTAAGAAAATGGCTCTGTTTGAAATTAACAGAGTCCAAAGGAATCGGCTGTGAATTAAGTCAGAGAAAAGTTCTAAGCAAAGTAGCAAAGAAAATAATCTTATGAATGTAACAGATCACACGAGACTCATTCAGTTTGAGTCAAACTTGACTCATATTGATGAGGGTTAAAAATGATGTCACTGGTTGAAAGCGGCTTACTTTGACGGATGTGGGTGTAAAAAAGAGATTGCTGGAGATAATGACTGCTTGTAAACTGAACACCTGCATAAAAGGCCCAGATAAACAATACTTTGAGCACAAGTTGGATCTGCTGGCATCATGGACTGTTTGTCCACATTTCTGTTTTTCAATGTTCTAGCATGTCTTGGACAAACTGGTAAGAGAATATCCGATTGTCTTTCTCCAATTGTCTCACTTAACCAATTGCTAATCTTTATCTGTATTTTCAGTCCAGGGGAGTGACATTATACATGGGGAAAAAGCCCCAGCCAACTCGATGCAGTACATGGTCTCAGTGCAAAATAAACAGGGTCATACATGTGGAGGATTTCTGGTCAGGCAGGACATTGTGGTCACTGCTGCACACTGTGCTGACGAGTGAGTTCCTCTTCTATGTCTGTTTCTTATTGATGACCATTAAAATGTCCCCTCATAAGAATTTTAACATTTAATGTTTCAGTGCACCTGTGCATGTTGTTCTGGGAACCCACAAGCTATCGAAGAGGAACATGAGCCCAGTGAATATTGAATACTTCTGTAGATTCCCAAATTATACAGCTGTTGGACGTGGTGATGACATCATGCTCCTTAAAGTAAGTATGTATTAATACAAGCAACATGAAATGTGACATTTAGTACAAACCTATTTTTTGTGTATTTTATTGATTTAATGTGGAGGTAGTTTTAAAAAGATCTAAGTTGGTATTTGTCTTTTTGTACATCTTCAGTTGTCCAGGAAATTTCCGCTAAATAACAGGGTGAAAATAATTCCACTTCCATCGTCTTCCAATGCAAACCTTAAAGATGATCAGAACTGCTCTGTGGCTGGATGGGGTAAAACTGAGACCAACCATGTTATGGTGGATGACCTGAGAGTGGTGAATGTGTCAATCTTAAATCCACAACTCTGTCGGGAGAAATGGGGGGCTGGATTTCCTCCTAATGTGATCTGTGCTGGTGGATACAACACAGACAAAGGATTTTGTCAGGTAAGTGTTACTGCTCTTCATGTAGTCTAAAATAATTTGGTCAATGTAAAAATAAAACCCTAATATTTTTACAGGGTGATTCCGGTGGTCCACTGGTGTGCAACGGGGTAGCTGTTGGTGTTGTGTCATTCAACAAACTTAACAACTGCAACTATCCAGATGTACCCAACGTCTACACAGACATATCCAAATATCTTCAATGGATCAACAACATTGTGAAAACAAATAAATGTGTATCATAAGCTTATTACAGAAGGTCTTCCTGCTCAGGGAGTTGTTCATTTCATTTTCATGCCTCTGTCAGCTTCTGGCACTCAACAAATATATTAAATAAAGCAAAACGTATTCAAATGATACACACTCTTTTTATAGATCAACAGAAACATATATATGCATATATGTATCACAGATAAAAGAGGTCCTCATCTGTTGAGGGTTAAGTCCAACCAGTCTAAAGACTCTCTTCATTTTTTGCATAAGAAAACATCCATGACATTGCCTGGAGTTGTTTCACCTTCTAAAATAAAATCATTTGCCCTTCTTGTCTGCTCCCTCCTAAATTTCCCGTGTTGTCAAATGATCTGAACTATGGATCTTTGCAAGTGTTCTTGCCATAATTTTAACTTTCTCTTAATTTGTTACTGCTGTTCAAATTGGGTATGTGTCTATTTCCCCTCATTTTCATAATCATTCCCCATACATTAGCTATAGGAGTTGATCTGCCTATTGAATCACAAAAATCTCTCCATTTTGTCTTCTTTGCCTTCTTAATATCTGTCCTTTTTTATATTAAATTACGTTTTTAAAATTATGTGTTCTCTTCAGTACTCTAAAAGGTGGGTTTATTTTCCTTATTGATCACTGCACTCTTGTATCCACCGAGGTACTTCTTTCTTTTTGTTCTTACTTTTACTTACAGGAATTTTTATTTTTGCTGCTATCAATATAACTTCCCTAATCTTTCCCTCTGTACTTTCTATATTGAGATATAAATTGACTTCATCCACGTATTTCTTACATGTATATTTAAATAAATTCAATTTTGCCTTACCAGATATCCATCTTTTCTGCCTTTCTACCACCCCCTTCTCTTTAGAAATAAAGGTATTACAAAAAATTGAAAAATGATCACTACCTAATGTTTCTTGCTCTTGCTTGGCGTAATAAAAACAATGTTTTGCACACATTTGTGATGGAAATGCAGCTTATATGGCTGGTCTTTACTCCTCTTATGAAGGAGCTAGTTGTTTTCTAGTTGACTTTCTTACTGTGTCAATATAGGAGGTTAACTTGTGGTTTGGTAACCCCCCTGTCATCCTCACACTTTTCTATACTCTGTTGAATAAGAACACAGGCAGACAAATGAATAGCAATCAGACACAAAACAACTTCAACTTGATTTTAATCTCCAAATTACTGGTTAACAGGGAAATAAATTTGTCACCTGGTTGTTCTTCTCACAATGTCTCTTAATAAAAAAGATCTGTATTTATGATTTCTATTCAGCATAGAAAAGATAAAAACCTGGGATGGATAGATATGACACCTTGAAGTATTTTAACCATCAAGGAAGATCCAGTAAAAATTTGACAGAGAAAGCAGCATATGTCCTCACTACTACACTGCCACCTGTTGGTGACTCTAAGGGTGTACAATTTTCAAATTGTTCTTTTTTTTAAAGCTAATACTATTGACACCGAACAAGTGTTGGACACATATTCTAAGGCCAAAAATACACAAGAGGTTCACTGTGCTGAGGTGAGACCTTTAGATGTATCTGCTGTCCATTTCCTTCGTAAGCAAAACCAAATGAATGATTGCAAACATTAATAAATCCTATTTATAAAATGCTGAAAGCAACCAATGCAGCAGAAAACTGTAATGTGACATAGTAAAGCAGTGATATAAGCAAGCATATTAGTCCCATATGTCACTAATGATATCATAAATACCAAAAAGCAGAAGTAAAACTAAAATGTAATTTGAAATGTTACTCAGTGGCATGAAGACTGGGTTATCTAAGTTTTCAACATCAAGTCTATTCATCAGGTCTATTGATTGTTTAGATAAGAGTATGAAACTTGCATGTACATGCATATTTTTGACATTTAATTTGTGGTCTATGTGGTAAAGAAAATTATTTAGATTTTAGATAATGACGCTAGCCAGTGGACCAATAGCTATAAAAACCCCAGCATCGCAAGCACTGTTCAGCATGACAAGCATCAGCCGGCACCATGCATGGCCTGGGTACATTACTGCTTTTCCACATTGTGACATCTCTTGGACAAAATGGTAAGAGATCTTCTGCCTTTTACTTTCTAACTAAAATATTTCTAGGCTGATTTTTTTAATTTTTTTTATTCATTATTGCAGTCCATGGGAGTGACATCATACATGGGGAAAGAGCACCCGAGAACTCAATGCAGTACATGGTCTCAGTGCAAAACAGGAATGGTCATGTGTGTGGAGGATTTCTGGTGAGCGAGGACTTTGTGGTCACTGCTGCACACTGTGCTATAGAGTAAGTTCTTCATCTGTCTGTTTCTGAATGATGAGCATTGAAATAGTCATAAAATTACTATAAAAACTGTAACTGATGACCATAAGTATTTCAATATCTAACTCTTCAGTGAACCTGTGCGTGTTGTTGTGGGAACCCACAAGCTGTCAAACAGCAACATGAGCCCAATGAATATTGAATATGTCTGCAAATATCCAACTTATGAATCTGTTGATCTTGGTGATGACATCATGCTCCTTAAAGTAAGTAGATATATTAATACAAATAACATGCATTGTGACATGTAGTGCACATGTCACAATACCCTTATTTCTAAAGAGAAGGTGGTGGTAGATTTAATGGAGATGGAGATGGTGTTAAAAAATAAAAGGTGATCTAGTATTTCTTGTCCTTTTGTACATCGATCTTAAATCCACAACTCTGTCGGGAGAAATGGTGGAATGGATTTCCTTGTAATGTGATCTGTGCTGGTGGATACAACACAGACAAAGGATTTTGTCAGGTAAGTGTTACTGCTCTTCATGTAGTCTAAAATAATTTGGTCAATGTAAAAATAAAACGCTAATATTTTTACAGGGTGATTCCGGTGGTCCACTGGTGTGCAACGGGGTAGCTGTTGGTATTGTGTCATTCAACAAACTTAACAACTGCACCTACCCAGATGTACCCAACGTCTACACAGACATATCCAAATATCTTCAATGGATCAACAACATTATGAAAACGAAGAAATGTGTGTCATAAGCTTATTACAGAAGGTCTTCCTGCTCAGGGAGTTGTTCATTTAATTTCCTTGCCTTTGCCAACTTCTGGTAATCAACAGAATTATTAAATAAAGAAACGCAAAATGCAGTCAAATGCTAAAAGTGAGATTCTTTTTGTTATTTCTCAACATATAAGTACATATTTAACGGCGGTATTATACTATATATATGGTCTATGGAGTCAGTTCTGTCAGATGCCCAGGGGAATCCTGATCAGATGCTCAAACCACCTAAACTGACTCCTTTTGATGCAAAACTGCAGATCCTCGACTTTGAGCTTCCCACAGACGAAAGTTTCTCATCTCTAAAGTTTAGTCCAGCCATTCTACAGAGAAACTTATATCAGAATGATGCTTATGTTCAGGACTTCCTTCCAATGGCCATGATGCTTCTTTCATAACTATAGATATCCTCAGACCCATTTACGACAAAATCTTCCAGTACAGCTAAATCCTACTGAAGTTTTTTGATCATATTACAGAAATATGTGTACATAGCTAGTGTGTAAATGGTCTGCACAATTTTTCTGTTGTAAATAACTATTTTGTCCAAGAATTAAAAAAATGTTGAATTTAAACTTTATTCCACAAAGGTTCAAGGCACAGTGCAGTGTGACAGATGCACTCCAGTTCCCTTGATGTGATAGAAACCAAAACTAAAGAGTCCCTTGTTGTTAAATAAGGAAATTTGAGAGATTTCTGTTTGTTTGGGTTTTTTTTTTTTACTTTGGCATAATAAAAACAATGTTTTGCACACATTTGTGATGGAAATGCAGCTTATATCTCTGGTCTTTACTCCTCTTATGAAGGAGCCAGTTGTTTTCTAGTTGACTTCCTTTTTCAACACACTGTGTTGAAATAAGTGGTTAACTTGTGGTTTGGTAACCCCCCTGTCATCCTCACACTTTTCTCTACTCTGTTGAATAAGAACACAGGAAGACGAATGAATAGCAATCAGACACAAAACAACTTCAACTTGATTTTAATCGCCAAACTACTGGTTACCAGGGAAATAAATTTGTCACCTGGTTGTTCTTCCCACAATGTTTCATTATGGAAAAGATATGTGTTTGTGATTTACATTCAGCATATAAAAGATACAAACATGGGACGGATAGATGTGGCGTCTTGAATTATTTTCAGCCATGTAGGAAAATCCAGCAAAAAGCTGACAGAGAAGGCAGGATATGTCCTCATTACTACACTGCCACCTGTTGGTGACTCTAAGGGTATACGTGACTACATATCTATTTCAATTAGTCCTTTTTTAAAACCAATACGTGTCCATGTGCTGGACAACATGTGTTGTGTTGGACTCATATTCCAAGGCCAAAAGTACACAAAACAATAACAATGGATTCATTGTGGTGAGATGAGATGTTTAGATGTGCCTGCTGTCCAGTTCCCAAATAATCAAAAGCAAATGAATGAATCATAAAAACAACCAATGCAGCAGAAAACCATAATGTAACATAGTAAAGCAGTGATATATGGAAGCATCTAGGTGCCAAATTTTACTAAAGAGATCATAAATATCAAGAAGTTGAAAGTTTTTAAATCTAGAAGTAAAACTGAAAGGTAATTTTAAATGCACTAAGTGCCATTAAGACTGAGTTGTGTAACTTTCCATCCAGTAGCGACTCATTCTGAAAGTACTATATTTTCATCTGAAACATCAGTGGTGGGGGTTGATTGATTAGATAGAAGTAGGAAACTTTTAGATATTTTTTTTTACATTTGTTTACTGACATATGTGCTAAAAACAAATATCTAGATTTTAGATTTTAGATAATGTCGCTAGCCAGTGAAGCAATATGCTATAAAAACCCCAGCATCACTAGCACAACCTACAAGAGCCGGCACCATGCATGGCCTGGGTACATTACTGCTTTTCCACATTGTGACATCTCTTGGACAAAATGGTGAGAGATCTTCTGTCTTTTACTTTCTAACTAAAATATTTCTAGGCTGATTTTTTTATTTTTCTTTTTATTCATTATTGCAGTCCATGGGAGTGACATCATACATGGGGAAAGAGCACCCGAGAACTCAATGCAGTACATGGTCTCAGTGCAAAACAGGAATGGTCATGTTGTGGAGGATTTCTGGTGAGCGAGGACTTTGTGGTCACTGCTGCACACTGTGCTATAGAGTAAGTTCTTCATCTGTCTGTTTCTGAATGATGAGCATTGAAATAGTCATAAAATTACTATAAAAACTGTAACTGATGGCCATAAGTATTTCAATATCTAACTCTTCAGTGAACCTGTGCGTGTTGTTGTGGGAACCCACAAGCTGTCAAACAGCAACATGAGCCCAATGAATATTGAATATGTCTGCAAATATCCAACTTATGAATCTGTTGATCTTGGTGATGACATCATGCTCCTTAAAGTAAGTAGATATATTAATACAAATAACATGCATTGTGACATGTAGTGAGCATTGATTCATATAAATTGTATAGATTTAATGGAGATAGTGTTAAAAAAAAATAGGTGAGATAGTATTTCTTGTCATTTTGTACATCTTCAGTTGTCCGGGAAAGCTCCACTAAATGACAGGGTGAAAATAATTCCACTTCCATCGTCTTCCAATGCAAACCTTAAAGATGATCAGATCTGCTCTGTGGCTGGATGGGGTAAAACTGGGACCAACCATGTTATGGTGGATGACCTGAGAGTGGTGAATGTGTCAATCTTAAATCCACAACTCTGTCGGGAGAAATGGTGGAATGGATTTCCTCCTAATGTGATCTGTGCTGGTGGATACAACACAGACAAAGGATTTTGTCAGGTAAGTGTTACTGCTCTTCATGTAGTCTAAAATAATTTGGTCAATGTAAAAATAAAACGCTAATATTTTTACAGGGTGATTCCGGTGGTCCACTGGTGTGCAACGGGGTAGCTGTTGGTGTTGTGTCATTCAACAAACTTAACAACTGCACCTACCCAGATGTACCCAACGTCTACACAGACATATCCAAATATCTTCAATGGATCAACAACATTGTGAAAACAAATAAATGTGTGTCATAAGCTTATTACAGAAGGTCTTCCTGCTCAGGGAGTTGTTCATTTCATTTCCATGCCTCTGTCAGCTGGTGTCAGAATAAAGCAAAATGCATTTAAAGGATGCAACTAAAGGCATAATCTTTAGGAAAAAATACGCTATCAATACATAAATTTAAGTAGATGTGTCAAACACAAAAATCATACCCTTTTTGATGTTTTTGGCAATAAGAATTAAACCTTTTTGCCTCTTAATTTTATCTTATAAACGCATTTGAATGGGTTGGAGATGTTAAGTTCTGTCTAGTTTATAGCACAAGCAAGTAACTCTATTGCCTTTGTTTGATATGGGAATGCTGTGTATATCAAAAATAATTGAAAATAAATTTCACTTTGCATAATTGCTATAATTGGTGCTCCTTCCCTTTCTCACACTTTCTTTTCAACACGTCGTCCAGCAATGCATCTCCAAGATTTCAACCGTTTTTAGGAGATTTGACCTGAGAAGTAGATTGCATGACAAGCGCACAATCGCAGTCAGACCAGAGGTTCCCTAATTGCAGCTCCCGTTAGGCTGGCGGGGGCTCAGGGTGAAGCGGTGCCCTGAGGATGGAGCTCGACTGCAGATTGAAACTCCAAAATGTCAGTAATTAGGCGGAGAGTTGCATGACGAAATGTTTAGGCATCCCTGAATAGCTCTCATGGGAGATTATATAATTTTTCAACTGGAAATCAAATGAATCACAGCAATAATCTGGAAAGATTTTTCACAAGGAAATAACATTGTAATGTAGTAAAAGCTCAAAAAAGTAGATTTAATATAATATTCGCCACTTCAGCCTCACATACATATGCCAAACACTGGTGTAATTTTAAAGTGTGAAATCATAGCTTAGTAGTTCAGAGTTAGGGATACTTTACACTTTTATTTAGTTTTCAATTACAAAGATTTCATGAGAAATTATGAAAATGATGCTTCAGGAAAACATGTGATGAATTTTTGGGAGTTTTATTTAAAACAAAAAATTAAATACAGATTTGGAAAAGCTTTTCCATGTTTTCAGTAGTTGAAAAATTGCCTGAGCCATTTACCATCTGAGAGGACCACAATTCTCTGCTAAGTTTTTATTTTTATTTTTATTTTTTTTTTTTATCAACGCCAAGGTTCATTTTTTTCATGTCATTCTAGGTAATTTAAAATTTTCTCATGTCAAGGAGCTTTTTCTTTGTAAAGCATTCTGAAAGTGATTGCAGTTTTTCTATATAAGCAGCGAATATGACTACAGTAGTAAAAGCAATTTTGCTGAGGAACAAGCATTTTTTATTTTATTTTTTGCAGCTGAGAAGTCAAACGGAAAAGCGAAGTGGCAGTAAAGTCACATTCTTTCCTAACAGTTTTTTCACCCAAACTTTGATGCAATAAGCTGAAAAAGGGAAATTGTTTAGCTGTCTAAAGAGGATGTGTGTATTAAAACAACCACTGGCACAGAAAAGGTAATTTTTTTCCTCTACTATTTTTTTTCTGTAAGATCACTTCGGTTTTAAAATCCTATTTTGAAACTTATTTCAGAAATTTTGTAAGGTATCTTTTGTCATTTCACCAGCCTAACAGAAACATTATCAGCTCGTTGGCAAATAAGCCGCAAATGAGGAAGTTGTCTTTTTTTACCCCCCGATTCTTAAAATGCTATAAAGCTAAGAGAGCAAAGTGTGGATTTCACAGGACACCATGACCTTCAGATTCATACTGCTGCTGCTCTGTGCATTCCAGGGTAATCCACAGCGCCTTCATGCTAAAGTTGGCTGCAGTCATGCAACCAGCACCAGGGTACAAAATGCAGAACTGTAGAGTTTATTTTTTTAATTGCAGGAGCTGAAGGCACTTGGATCGTTGGTGGTAGAGATGCTGTCCCCCACTCGCGGCCTTACATGGTCTCGCTGCAAATCCAAGGTCGACATGTCTGCGGCGGCGTGCTGATAAGAGAAGATTTTGTGCTCACAGCAGCACATTGCGACTTGATAGTGTAAGTTTTGCTCACCGCTACAAATCTAAGAAATTCAAAATAATTCTCAGACAATCAGAAAACAAGAAACCTTTCAAGAATTTATCCTAGAAAGAAGATTCTGGAGAGAAAGGTAACAATGTTCACTATTTCTTACACTTAGTGTAGCACAAAAGTTATACTTTGCTTGCTAGTATCTTGCTAGTTTGCAAGATTCAAAATTACAAGAAATCTATAGAGCTCCAGAAAATTAATTTAAATGAATGGCTTTGATGAACGCAGACAGAAAAAAGCCCTCATAATAGACACATAAAAATAAACAGTTGAACATAAGTAGCTACATACTTCTTAAGAAAAAAAAAAAACAATCTCCTTTTTATGGGTGTATCTGTTTATGGGCCAGCTAATTTATCAGTGCCAATTTCCTTCAATTAGGAAGATTGGTGATCGCCTGATGCTTACATGTGAAGCTAATCTTATCTACCTCAGCGAAGGTCTAAAAATCAACCACTGTCAACTTTTGTTCTCCTGTGAGAGAGGTTTGACTGACAGACTGGCCCACCAGGTCATGTCTGCATGTTTGCATTTATCAATAGTCACCCCACTTTCACCAACTCAGTGACTTTCTTGCTATATTTACCGTGATAACATTTCACAAAAATTCAGAATCGGCAGGTACGGCTTGCGACAGATCGGTAATCCAGAAAACTGCAATCAGTGCACTCCTTATATTTTCTCCTCACTGACAATAAATTAAACTACAGTTTTCATATTTTGTTTGCAGTTATGTTGTTTTTTGGGGGTTTTTTTTGTAATGCATGCAACTTGTGCAATTCTGTGACTTTTAGACCATACACAGTTGTGCTTGGAGCAGATACACTGGAAGCCAACGAGCCAGCAAAGCAGAGCCTTCGTGTTCTCAGATCCTTTCCCCATCCAGACTACACTGAACTTGCAAATGACATCATGCTATTGAAGGTTGGGTCAAATATATTACATTCTAAATCTGTAAATCTTGTTTCTTTCTACACATAATTGAATTAGCATTAACCTCTAACTTTGCTATTGTTTGTTTTCTTTTTATAATTCCTCAGCTTAGCAGCAGGGCAAATCTTACTAAAGAAGTGCAATTGATCTCTCTGAAGTCTGGTCGCCTCAGAACGGGAAGTAGTTGCATCACAGCAGGTTGGGGGGACATAGCAGACAACAGGACCTTGGCAAACAGGCTTCAGGAGGTCAACGTCACAATTATGTCACCACGAACATGTCAGAGGAGATGGAGAGAAGTTCCCATAGCCAGAACGATGGTTTGTTCCATGGGTTCACGGAACATACAGGGCTTCTGCTCGGTAAGGCAGGTCAAAATACAAAGTAGAAACAAATATCACAGTGGCCAAACTTTCAAATAACCTCGTAACTGATCATATTTCTTGAATTGCTATTTTGCAGGGGGATTCAGGAGGCCCCTTGGTGTGTGACGGAGCTTCAGCAGGTGTTGTCTCTTTCTCCGGGCGGCGATGTGGAGACCTGAGGACTCCTGATGTTTACACACGTGTTGACTCCTTCAGGGAGTGGATTGAAAAAGTGCTGAAAGAAAATTAGACAAATTAACTTTACTTGGTCCTTTTTCTACTACCAAAGGCAAAACGGACAAATTGTTCTGCATTTCAAATCTAATTTTTCTTCACTACCTGTAAAAGTACATAAAACGTCTGCAAAAATCCATTAAATCCCTACAGCGAGTGGGTGAGGAGAAGTTATTAGAAAGTATTTATTTCTTATGGAAAACAAGATCTGATGCAAAGATAATGGACAGAGCTTGTGAAAATCTGTTATTTTCAGTCATATATCGTGGTGGTCAATGAATAAATTAGCACTTTCAGATGTACATTTCTCTGTTACAAGTAAATCCTGGTCAAAAAACAATTAACCAATTGTGGTAATTTTGAATTAAATGTTTTAACTGCATATGAGAATGATTTGGCATCATTTTTTTACTTCATGGAGTTGCATGTCATCGCCTTCCTAAAATAATAGCCTAAGTCATAATTTGGCAAAAAAAAAAAAAAAAAACATGCTCCTTTTATGTTTTTTTTTGCCAAAATCCCTATTGCAAAAAATTACTTATTATTTTAGGACAATTTAAGAAAATATGAATATGTGTTCCAATTTAATGACGCATTTTTATTAATTAATAAGAAAATGGTGTGTAACTTTGAGTATCCTCTTTATAATACAGAGTATATTCATTTGAAGGCTTTTTGATAACTACTGTCATACATATCTGTGCAGGAGATCCGCCCACACACATCACCATCCACTACAATATGAAAAACATCATACCAAAAATAATTGGCAGAAATAAAGGATGCAAAGAACAAGTCTTGGATTCAAATGTATATAATATACATACAGTATATAATGTATATTATTTCCAGACAACAATATAGATACAAGAGTGACAGTTCACAGTATAAAATGTATAAAATGCACACTAATTAAGTAAGGGAAGGTCTACTTCATCACAAACTGGGCCTATGTAGTTTGTGGCAATATGAAGTGCCCATGTTTCCTAGATTCTAACCAAACTGATAAAAACCCCCAAAATAATCAAACCTCTTCTGCCCTCTGCTGGCACAAGCGCTCCATACAATCTAGTATGACGCAACTACGCAATATGTCTGATTGTTCCCAACCATCTGTTATAAATATACACATTTCTTTCTAAATAATAAAAGGAAAAATAATAAAAAGTCTGTCGAAAGATATTTTCAAATTATCATTGTCCGTGTGAATTATAAGTGTGACAATGTGAATTTGAATGGTAAGTTATCGATGTTAGATAATGTCGCAATTTGAAGGGAAAAAAAGCTACACAGACTCTAGTTTTGACATAAACTTTGCTGCATTTACAAATCAAAACATTAGAAACTTATCCAGCAGGCGATGGCATTTAGAAACATCAATACCCACAATTCCCCGCGCGTTTGCTTACGTTTTTTCCTGCCGTCATGGCAACCTTTAGGCTTGCTGGGAACTCGAGTCTCCTCCTCCCTCGCCCCCCCACGATCAACCAGCCACAGCTAACTCCAGTTTTTCCATAGGTTTCGCGAGATTTACGCGGGCGGGTTGGCGTGTGGCAACATTTATCCGCCATACAAACCGAACAGTACTGACATGAAATCTGCTTAAAGGTAATTAAGCCATGTTCCACTACTTCGAATACGGACGTAATAAACATCCATTTGTTGCTACCGGTTGTTAGCTTGTCGGTGAGACCGGTAAGCAGATAGATATGGCTGACTGAACGCCTCTGCTTTACCTTCAGTAACATCTGCATTGACAACGAGTGACCAGACAGACCGCGCGGTATTTAGTTCAGTAGGAATGTGAGCTAATACAAGTGTATATAAATATTATTTTTTCCAGACTTCCCTCGTGGCAATGATATGTTGGTATGTGAAATATTCATGCAAATGACACCCGCAGGCTTGTCATCCAGTTGTACTGGCGTGCGAGCTAACTCATCTTTGGACGTGACCTCCATAGCTATGTCACCCGAATAAATGCTCAGGAAGTGGCACAGTGATGCCTGCTCATTGGTTGATGGAGTTATCAGTCTTTAGAGCAACACGTCAAGCCCATTTGTTTTTGTTGGGGTTTTTTTTAGGATTATTTAAATTTCCCTCTTCTCCTGTGTCTGACTGTCTGTTCTTCCTGGTGACTTAACAACTAAAGTATCTACTTTTTCTTTCAAATAGTAACCTTTGAGATTCCAGAGGCATGTCCAAGAAAAGGGGCAGGTACGTGAAAGTGAACTATTGGATAAAGTGATGTGTGAAAATGTGTCATTACAATCAAAACTTTTGGAACTTTTTTTTTTTTTCAAATCAAGCAAACCTAATTTCACACAAGGAGACTGCGGAAAGGCACAATCTCCCGAGTTGCTGTGCTTTAATCTACAAATGTGAATGTGATTGGATCCATGTGGCTAGTGTCAAAGAAAGCAGGGAATGTATGAACACAAAATTTGCTTTCCCCGCTCCATCTTCAAGGGATCCTAGGGAAGTTTTATTAAATATTCTGCAAAAAGCCATATGTTCCTTTTTGCTTGTTTGTTCATTTTGGCTATACTGCCAATCTACAATTTAATGTCCTTTTAATGTGATGCCAGTGAAGATGTTGGACTCAACCAGCCATAACACAGCGCAGCACCCACCAAAAACACACACACTCAAAAATAATTTTTCCTGAATTTACTCAGTGTTTAAAAAAAATAAAAAGATAATTTAGTTTTCCAGTAGTGAAAAACATGGACAAGATGTAGAAAATAACAGTCCCACCCATGTTTATACAAATAAAACGCTCAAAGTAAAACTTATAGAGTAGATTATTGAATCTCTAGTAGTATGTTTAATTATGATTACAGGAATTGGAATATTTTTTGCTTTTTTTATATTTGTGTGATGTTCTATTATTTGCCCTACGTTTATAAATGCATATACCTAATGTGTGCTCTTAATTTTTTTTTTTTTGCACACAATCGTGGCTAGCAAAGCTTATTCTGATATATTTTTTGTTTCAAATCTTAATGTAATGCTGGGGTACTAATGACTGCTTATAATACTGTCAAAATATTTTAGTTTGCTTTGAAAAATAAATTAGAAAAACATTTTAGGGGAGTAGTAATAAACTTCTAATGTTTAAAACGGGTCAAAAGAGATCATGATGTCCTATTAGCTAAATTATTTAACCACACAATGCTTCATTTTCTTATAATATGCTCTCAGAAGAGGAAAAGTCGGTAACACATGTAGGATGTGATCTCTTGCTCATGTTCTTGTATTTACATGCAGTCCATGAAGTGAACAAAGCTCCCTCGCAGTAATACTAAAATGTACCAGTCTTATTAGCCGGGAATCAGAATTACCCCACTTCTGTGTGAAAACATCTAAGGTTTTCTGTCCATGTCGGATATCAGAAAGCGGAGCAGTGGGGAACTGAGTGATGTGGCGACGCCGGACCCCAACTCCATCCTGGGATTACGCATCCAGCATAACTGGCGAGAGAAGGGGAACCAAAGCAAATGGAAGGGGACGGTGCTGGACAGACTCAGCGTTAACCCCTCTCTCTTCATGGTGAAGTACGACGGCTTTGACTGCGTCTACGGCATAGAGCTTTTCAAGGACGTGAGAGTGTCCAACCTGCAGGTCCTGTCAGAGAATATCGGTGAGTATGTGTCTACGCTAAGGCTGGGCGGTATGGCTTAAAGATAAAATCTCAGATGAACTGATTCATCTGAGAACCAATTTCTGATTTTGATAAAGACTACATTTTATTCAAAGGAAAGGTCAAATGACAGAAACTATTTTCAAAAAGTGTCTTTTACTTCAATTACTGCTAGGGCCTGGCTACAAGAATTTTGTCTTTAATTAGAAGAACAGTCACAATATTTGCAGAATGAAGACAATTTTAGCAGATGATTATCTTAAAGTCACAAATAAACAGATGTTTTAATGAGATAAAGCTTTGATACAGTTATCAAGATCTGATGTGACCAGCTCAGTCCATGTTCTTTTTTCAAAATGGACTGTCGTTTGCACAATTGTTTCAAAGTCCTGCTACTGATAACACTTTGATGCTGATGTGTTAAAAGAGTAAGAAGTTACTTATCTGTAATATTTTGTGCAGGAGTTCTCATAAAATTACTACTTCATTGTCTTGATTTGCGACTATATTCAGCTAATATTAACATTTTATTCTTGTGTTACTTTGACATTATTCTCATAATTAAAAAAATAAAATAAAAATCGTAGCCTTGCTCTAATACTCCATCGTAGAACTGACCTGAATTCAAAATAAACAGAATCCTGATAAATGGGATCTGTAAAACATACTTGTCAAACGGGATGCTGACATCACTCTGAACTATGAAAACCTAAGGATTGCATTGGTGGAAAAAAACATCCCTATTTCTAAAAAAATGTATATTTAAAAACCAAAAATTCAAGTAATCGCCCAGCCTTAGTTCATGTACCTCTAATTCACAAGGTACTCAGGCGTTTTTATTCGTTTTGAGCAACATGTCCACTTGTGTCTCTGCAGTAAACAACAAAATAAAGATCCCAGCAGGGGCAGAGGAACTTGTGGGCAAAGCAGTGGAGCATTTGTTTGAAAAGGAAGATGGAGAGAAGAATGAGTGGAGAGGCATGGTCCTATCCCGAGCTCCAGTCATGACAAACTGGTATTATATCACTTATGAAAAGGACCCAGTTCTTTATATGTACCAGCTGTGGGATGACTATGCAGATGGGGACCTCAGGATTTTGCCAGAAGCAGGTACTGTTAATTTGTGTTTTAACAAAAGCTGATTTATTCAGAAAGAGTTGTATGCAGTGTTTTCCTCGAGGCATCAGAAATGGGATCAAGAACACCAAGTTCAGCAGATGTTACAGATATTGAAGGTTGTCTCAGTTGTTTTTCTCCACATAGAATAATCTGCCTCCTTTATTTCCAGTTTGAGGAAGGAAAACAAACAGACATAAGGAGTACCTGGTTGATTTCAAGCATTTTTGAGTTTGTATGCTTTAATAAGGAGTTGTACCTTAACATGTTACATGAACACCAGAGAGTATAGATTATCTGTTTTCGATCTAACCTTTCATCGCTCTAAAGTTGTTTACACCCATCTGCCGCATGCTTGATGTCCTGACCAGTCCGCATGTGAAAGCAGAAATATTTGCAACACTTACTTCAGACGTCTGAAAGAGCTCATCCCACTTCCAAACATGGCATACAAATAATAAAAAAAATGATAGCATGAGACCATGTCTGAGTACACCAGGAAATCCTCCAGGGTATTTACTGTGGGTTATGTTCGTGTGTGCTTCTGCATCATTCAAGCCACATTCCACTTCTCTCTTGAAATATGTCTGTCTGTGCAGGCTCAAAGATGGGAAGAATTTATT